GAAGGGTGGCTCCATCACTGTAGGGCACATAGTCAGAGGCTGACAACACAGAGGGCAGTGTGATGCACAGTCCTCGATGGAATCTGCAGTCTGTGTTTCCTCAGCTCCAGACTTCAATAACAATCCTGATCATAATCCAGAGGAGAAGATCATAATTGTGGGGCTAGAGAGATGGCTCAGCAGTTCAGAACACACTGCTCTTCCAGAGCGCAGGAGTTCAGTTCCTATTGCCAGCGTTGGACAGCTTATAGCCACCTGTAACTCCAGCTGCAGAGGATCCAACGCCCTCTTCTGGCTTCTTCAGGCACCTGCACTCACACGCGTCTACACATACACACACACACACACACACACACACACACACACACACACACACTCACACATACTTAAAATTTAATCCAAGAAACAATTTTAAGAAGGGATGGCTGAAACTATGTTGATTCCCCATGGTAGCCCTCACTTGTTGGGAGGAGTGGATGGGGGGTGGACTGGGGGAGGGGAGGGGACAGGAAGAGGGGAGGAAGGGAGAACCTTGATTGGAATGTAAAATGAACTAAAAAAAATTTTAAAAAGAAGGGGTGACTGAAGACAAGGCTCTGTAGTAAGAAGGCTTGCTCTTGAAGAGGATACTGTTTAGTTCCCAGAACCCACACAGTGGCTCACAGTTGCCTGTAACTCCAGTTCCAAGTGATCCAGTACCCTCTTCTGGTCTCCAAGGGTTCCTGCATGCATATGATCCACATATACTCATGCATGCTTACATATATACACAAAAAAAATCATAAAAAAGAGAGAGATTTTACGTTTACAACTGTGCACACCTGTCTCTCCCCTCTTTCTCCTCCCTCTCCCCCCCACTCTTTCTCTCTCTCTCTCTCACACACACACACACCTGAAATAAACTTTCACAGAACAGTTGTTTGACCCTTACTGTGCATAAGGTGCTAATTCAGGGTCTTCTGTTCCATCATGATCTGTTCTGCTTTGATTCCTACAGCACTGAGTACACTAAGTGGCAACAGGAAACCCCACACAGCGCATCAGAGGCACTGCCTGCTTCCTGATGTTGGGAGGCAGTTGCTAATCACACTGAGTCTTGGAGTGCCAATAGGGGCTGCCCGAGCCCCTCTATTATAAGATTCACCCTATGGCCATTGCCCCTCTTGAGTCTGATCACCTTCTCGGGGTTCTAAAGGCATACATGCCCCTTGCCTGAAGTATTCAACCTATCTGAGGATTCTGTTGACAATCACCGCCTCCCTGACCTATAACTTGCTCAAGTAATGATATTTGTATTTTAATTTCATTCCTCTTCCATTTTCCATACAGTCACTGAATATATGGGAGCAGGGGGAGACCACATAACTGGCCCCAGAAGAGGAAGGGAAGGCTTCCCTTTAAAACCTTTTTTAAGGGAGAGGGAGTTAGGTGAGGCACACACCTCTAATCCTAGCACTCAAGAAGCAGAGGCAGGTGGATCTCTGTGAGTTTGAAGCTAGCCTGTTCTACATACCAAGTTCCAGGCCACACAGACCACCAGACCTTAGTTTAGTTTCAGACCACTAGAGTTACCTGGTGAGAGAGACCCTGTCTCAAACACTAAAAAATGCCAGGCGTAGTGGAACACACCTTTAATCCCAACACTCAGAAAACAGAAGCAAGCAGATATGTGAATCTGAGGCGAGCTTGATCTTGTACATGGTGAGTTCCAAGACAGCCAGGGATACATAGTGAAACCCTGTCTCAAATAAATAAATAAATAAATAAATAAATAAATAAATAAATAAATATTAAGAAATAAAAAAATCGAAAGGGGCTTTATTATGAGTGAAATAAGATGAAGTTGGAGAAGTGATTCAGCAGTTAGAGCACTTACTGCTCTTTTATGTATACAATATTCTGTCTGTGTGTATGCCTGCAGGCCAGAAGAGGGCACCAGACCTCATTACAGATGGTTGTGGAATTGAACTCAGGACCTTTGGAAAAGCAGGCAGTGCTCTTAACCTCTGAGCCATCTCTCCAGCCCCCACACTTACTGCTCTTACAGAAGACCCAGGTTCAACTCCTAGCACCCACAGAGAGGCTTACAACCACTTGTAACTCCAGTTCCAGGGGATCTGACATCCTCTTCTGACCTCCATGAGCTCTGGAGTATATATAAAATAAGATAAATATGTTTTTAAAAAGAATAAAAGAGGGAGAGACAAAGATAGCTGTCAGGAGAGGTAACTGTGGGGCAGAGGAGCCTCTTCAGAGAAAATCTCCAAAGCAATCCCAAGAACAAAGGTAAGTTTTGAGGAAATGGAGGAGCAGTTCATATCATATAGTTCAACACAGCAGCAATGACAAAGAGGACGGAGGAGCCAAGTACTGGTCAGGACCAGTAATCAGGGAATACTCTGAAACCACAGCACACACAGCTAGCTTCTTAACTCTTAGTCCCACAGAGAGCTGCAGAGAGGCCTGGCCCGATGTCTTCAGGTTGTGAGATCTGGCCTTTAAACAGTAAACACTGTACTAAAGGGAGCAGGCCCATGTTCTGACACATGTCAAGAGTCACTTTCCGTAAATGCCGCACAGCCACGCTATCTTGCGTACTGAAACTAACAAAGTCATATTACCAAGGACTTTGAACCACAGCTCAGTGTGAATAACCGAGCCTTAATGAAGAAGAGGCTGCCGAACGCCACCGTACATTTTAGGCATGAAGGGAAAGAGAGAAGTGTTAAACTGCTATTATAAAGAACTTTCTATGGGATCTGGACTCATGAAGTCAGTCTCAACAGAGACTTCTTTCCACAGTGCGGTGCCAGCCAGGCTGGGTAGGGCGTCTTGCCCCGCTAGGATTTAAATGTTCCAGAGCCTTTACCTCGTCTGCCTGGATTCTCTGCCCAATGAGAGAAAAATGAACAGTGAAGAACCCACTTCAGACACCATGTCAAGTACTTTGCAAAACACCTGGACTGTTGGCCACCGCTGTCATTGCCCTGACTCCAGCTGCTCCTGGTAACACACCCTCCCCCCCTTACACCGGGCTTGTAATAGTGAACGCGTCCTGCCCCAGCCCCAGCCCCAGCCCCAGCGTGGCCTTGGAGAAGCACAGCTTTCGTCAAAGGACCGTGGGTTGTGGCAGACTTTCCCTACCCTCAAATCGGGGTTATCCTGCCATCTAGTGGCCAGTAGCAGCAAGTGCCTAAAGTCGCCAGCACTCACACGCCAATCTTTTTCCACTCTAGTCGATTTCCACAAAGCTTTTTCTCGGTTTCGTCCTTTTTTTGTTTTTAACCTCTCTCTGTTTCGCCCACTGAAGCTTACCGTGCCTGCCTGGCATTCTTTTCCTCCTCCTGAGTGTCAGGCAAGGACCTTCTGGTTCAATCAAAAGATTCAATAAAAGCTCACCTCTAAAGGAGAGATTTCCGGGAACACTTGAACCGTTCCCTCCCTTCTCTCCAGCGGGACCTTCTACTGCCCAGCTCTTCCAATACTGCCTGTGACTGCCCCCTTCCCTCCCTACAGCTGCTCCTCTCTGCACCCCGCTCCTACGTCGTAGACCAGCGGCCACGAGTGTTTGACAGATATCAGCATAAGACAATAGAAACGGGAGCTTGAGGGCACATGGCCGATAAAAGCAACCCAGGAGTTAAGGAGCAGCTCGCTATTACTACCATCTACACTCTACAGCCTCGATATCCACAGGCCTCCCTATCCCGCACTGCCTTTAAGCTAATTCCTTTCACAATTACATGCAGAAACGCATATCTGCCCTACCCTAAACCAAAAGTAAAGAAACCCGTATCTACAAATAATTTCTTCAAGAGTACCCTTTAGTCACAGCAACTAGTCACGCGTCAAAACTGTTCACCAACTGGGAAACTGAGTAGAGAAATTGTAGTATATACATCCAATGAAATTCTACTCCGCAACAAAAAGGAACCAAGACAAAATAACTGATCAAACTGTACACCCAAGAGCTAATAATTACATTAATTTTTTTGGTGTCTTGTTTTTGTTTTTAATTACAAAGGACGGGGAGAGAGAGAAAGGGAGGAAGAAAAGAAGGCCGATCCGCCTGGAGCTCTCTGGCCACCAAAATCTTGATCTACTGAAGAAGCTGGGGCATACGCAGTCTCCTGCCTGTAATTGCTCAATCTGGACACCAGGAGGCGATGAGGGCCCGGGGAATGCGTGCTGAGAACTAGGTGCGCGACGGCCAGGGGACGGGACAAGGTAGGCGGTAGACTTCGCGGTGAGCCGGAGGAGGGGAAGGGTGTCGGGTTCAGCGTGAAAGGGCGGACTGAGTGGCTAGGGGCCCCGGTGTAGCTACGAAGGGCTGGGCGAAGAGGGGCGGAGCGTAAGGGAGAGGCGGAGCCGCTAGAGGACCCGGCACGGGCGCAGGGGGAGGGGCGTAAGGGAGAGATTGAGCGGCTAGGGAACCCGGCACGGGAGCAGGGGGCGGGGCGTGAGGGAGAGGCGGAGCGACAAGAGAATACAGCACAGGCGCAAGGGGCGGGGCTTGGGGACGGGGCGGAGCAACCAGAGGACCCGGCACCGGCGCAGGGGGCGGGGCGCAGCGGGTGCACGCGGGCGCCTGGGTCGCCATGGCGGAGGTGCAGCAACTCCGAGTGCAGGAGGCCGTGGACGCCATGGTGAAAAGTGTGGAGAAAGAGAACATCCGGAAGATGCAGGTGACTGCGCGGCGTCGCATTCGGGTGGGGTTGGAAAGCTCGGGCGGGGGTGGGGCGGTGACGTTCGAGCGCGGGGCCGTTTCCTCCTGCCTGGCCTCGGTTACGCGTGTTCGGCCGCCCTTGAGGTAATCCGGCACGAGGCCCGAAGGGCCCAGCTCAGGAGAACCACCAGGATGAAGTCTCTTCTGGCTGTCCTGTGCTGGTTCAGAAGCCACGAACCCTGAACGCCGCTGTGGCGGCCCCGCCTCCTTGCCCTGCCTGCTTCTCTTAACCTTACGACCCCACCGTCGACTGTGGGTCGTCCCCCTAGTAGGGCGTTGACTAACCAAGCCGACCTCTGAACTCTGCTGTAGATACCTGGTTTTCAGAATATGTTTTCTTCCGCCCAGTCTTGGACGTGTTGTGTTCCCGTGAGCTGGTAGCAACAGACAGGGGCTCATTTAACCCAGGTGGGCTTATCTCCCTGCCTGATCTCCCTGCCTCCACCTTCGGAGTGCTAGGATGAATCACAGGCTTGAGCCTCCACCTTGGTGTTTATGCAGTGAGGATGGAACACAGGGCTATCTTAGAACTAGGCAAGCGCTCTCCCAAGGACATACATGCTACCTGGGGCAATCGTCCCGGTCTCACAGGGAAAGTGAAGCAAAGGGTAGTGAGGAAGATACAGACTGAAGCATAGCCTCCAAACCCTGGTAGTGTCAGAGTCTTTCTTTTCTAATCAGGCTCTGTCCTCCCTCCCCAGGGTCTCATGTTCCGGTGCAGCGCCAACTGCTGTGAGGACAGCCAGGCATCTATGCAGCAGGTGCACCAATGCATCGAACGCTGCCATGCACCTTTGGCTCAAGCCCAGGCCTTGGTGACCAGTGAGCTGGAAAGGTTCCAGGTAAGGAATGCCTCAGAGTTCTCAAATCCTTGAACAGCTCTTTGGTGAGACGTGAGAACAATTTATTCTGCTGTAGGGCCTTAGTTCTGTTAACACTGGTGGCAGTCCTTTGGCCAACTGGTATTCTTGGGGGTTTGTAATTTTGGAAAAGGCCCTGAGAGTTGAATGCTTTTAAGTTGTGCGGTATTTTTCCATAACAATAGAAAGTTAGCCAGGCAGTGGTGGGGCACGCCTTTAATCCCAGAGGCAGGCGGATCTCTGTGAATTCAAGGCCAGCCTGGTCTATAAGAACTAGTTCCAGGATAGACTCCAAAGCCACAGAGAAACCCTATCTCAAAAAACCAAAAAGAAAGAAAGAGAGAGCGAGAGAAAGAAAGAAAGAAAGAAAGAAAGAGAGAGAGAGAAAGAGAAGAAAGTTGCCAACAGAGTTTATAGCCAAGTGTCTTTATGCCTTTTTGGTTATCGTTTCATCTGTGGTCACTGTACACATGGTAGTGCACAAACATATTTAGGCAAATAGTCATACACATAAAAGGTAAAAATCTCAAAAGAGTTAAAACATACAAACTTAATTATTATTTTCTTTTTTATTCTTTGACTATTTCATACATATAATATATTTTGAAAACATTTTTACTCCCCCCCCCAACTCCTGGACCCATTTTATAAGTCTTCCTCCTATTCTTTTTTACTGTTCCCTCTGGATTCAGTTAAGGTTGGATGCATGAGCATGGACATGAGACTTTTCATTGCAGCATGGACAATTTAACAGTGGTGGCATCACTAAAGAAAAATGCCTCCTCTTCCTGCAGCAACCTCTAACTGCCAGTAGCTCAGGGCTGGAGAGATGGCTCGGTGGATTATAGCACTTACTGGCCTTAAGACCTAGGTCAGGTTCCCAGCACCCACATGGCAGCTCACAGCTATCTGCAACTCCATTGCATGGGATATGACAACTCTTCTGAGTATGGTACACATACATATATTCAGGAACACAGTAACTATCGACCAGGCAGTGGTAGTACACCTCTTTAAATCCAGCACTCAGGAGGCAAGGCCAGGAGGGTCTCTGGGTTTGAGGCCAGCCTGGTCTACAGAGCAAGTTCCAGGATAGCCAGTTCTACATAAGGAAACCCTGTCTCAAAAAAAGAGAAGGAAAAAACTAGCTCCTCAGCTAAGAGTGTGACCTCACGAGTTTCTCTTCTTTGATTCATTTTTAAAATGTAATTTCCTGAAAAGTTGACTAAGGTATTAGGTCTTTAAAAGATGCAGATTATTGGCTAGCTCAGTACTTGCTACATAAGCCTAGCAACTTGAGTTTGATTCCCAGAATCCACATAAAGATGGAAGGAGGGAACCAGCTCCACAAACTGTCCTCTGATGTTATAGGCATGACACAGCACACATGCCAGTTACGCGTGCACACACAGTTTAAAAGGTACAGACAAGAGTAAGACCTTCACGATATTTGTGAACTTAAACCCTCCCCAGAACATCCTCTATTTGGGACACCTGGAGAGAGGCTTCCGTAGTACAGAAAACTCAATCATAAAAAGCATTAGTACTCTGCAGGTTTTTGAGACAGGGTCTCAGCTCTGCAGCCTTGGCCGGCCTGAAATTCAGAGCAATGCAACTGTATCTGCCTCCCACCTGCCAGGATTACAAACCGGTGATACCAGGCCCCTACAGTGTACTATAAAATCTCCTTTTCCCTCCTGGAACAAAACCTGTCCATGCCTTCATTTTTCTCCCTTCCTCTAAGTGTATTTTGTGGGATTGGAAGCACTCATCTAGTAGCATAGGGTTCCATTCACCTGACTGTTACACCTAATGTGGGATACACTTTCACACTCTGATGTACAAAACTCTTCAAAAGTCCAGACATTGTGAAGTATTAACAGCAAAGCATTGCTCCTTTTTTCATTTTGAGAAATTTCCAGGTGAGATCTTTAGAAAGTTGGTTCTTGGGCTGCTATGTGAGTTTCTCCTTCCCTTCCCTTTAGTCATTGCATGCTAACTCTCACTCACAGAGCTGCTCACAGTGGTGATGAGAATGGTACCCACGGGACTAGGTCTGCAGTCAGTACTCAGCCCTCCGCCTTGACTGTCTGGACAGTAATTCCCTCTCCTCCTTTAAGCACTTTAACCATCTGACCACAGGAGACCTCACTCCTGGTTTTCCACCTTCCAGGCCATTTGTCTCTGCCTCCTTTGCTATATTTTCCCCCCTTCCAGACTGCCCAGTAGAGCACACAGACCGGCATTGGTCCTGCCTTTTTTTTAATTTATTTATTTATGTATCTTTATGTACATGAGTGCTCTGTCCTCGTGCACACCAGAAGAGGGCATCAGGTCACATTACAGATGGTTGTGAGCCACCATGTGAATGCTGGTAATTGAGCTCAGGACCTCTGGAAGAGCAGTCAGTGCTCTTAACCACTATGCCATCTCTCCAGCCCTAAGTCCTGGCTTCTTTTCTCATAGCTGTTAATATCCTACAGCAGTGGTGCCCAGCTTGTAGCCTCTGGGTCACATACAGCCCAACATAAAATTATAAACCTATTAATGAGATATTTTGCATATGTGGTTGCTGTCTTTTTTTTTTCTGGTTTGTTTTTTTTTGGGGGGGGGGGTTGAGACAGGGTTTCTCTGTGTAGCCCTGGCTGTCCTAGAACACCCTCTATAAACCAATCTGACTGGGAACTCAGAGATCCACCTGCCTCTGCCTCCCAAGTATTGGGAGTAAAGGCATATGTCGCCATGCCTGGTAGGTTTACATTTCCAGAGCATAAAGTTTATAGATAACAGTGTGGCCAAGAGAAGCCAAAATGTTGGATGCCCCTGACTGATTATTTACATTCACCCTTGAGCTCCCGACACATATCCCACTCTCTTCTTAACGCCTCTACGCTGAACTGTAAATTCCATGTGAGCAGGAACAGTTATGCCTTGGTCGTTTCTGTATTTCATGTTAGAAGAAAGCCTGGCATATATTAGATGCTTGACAAATGTTTGAATTGTTTTTCTGTAGCACGGACAGACATTAAAGAATTAAAATGTCTGTTAGGTAGATGATTCAGGGGTTAAAGCACTTGCCACACAAACATGCCCAGAGTTCAGTTTACAAAAAAAAAAAAAAAAAAAAATTGTCTCTTTGGCATGGCAGCCCACCTGTAATTCCAGCCTTAGAAAGCAGAAGCAGGGACTATCTAGAGCAAGCTGGTAAGCAAGACTGACCATATCAATGAGCTCTGGGTCTGGTTGAGAGCCCCTGCTCCAGTAAATATGTGGAAAAACATGGAGGATGGTACCTTGGGCCTCCACATCCACAGATGCACACATCTAAAAACACACAACACCACACACATGAAAAAATGGAAGAAAAAGAAATCTAACAGTAGTAGCATCCTGAATATAATTCGTTTTTTCAAACAGTTTCTAGTCTGAGCCTTCCCAATGGTACCTTCTGTTTTAGCTAAGAAAATATTGTACTTAGTAACTGACAGAGAGATCTGTATGAAACCTGTAACCCAAGGCCTAACGTGGGACCAACACCAGACAATGGAAGCCAACCTCTCAGTCTTCTCCTCTCTTCCTCCTCACCACAGGACCGTCTGGCCCGATGCACCATGCATTGCAATGACAAAGCCAAAGACTCCATAGATGCAGGAAATAAAGAGCAGCAGGTGAAGCGACAGCTGGACAGCTGTGTGGCCAAGTGTGTGGATGACCACATGCACCTTATCCCAACAATGACCAAAAAGATGAAGGAGTCGCTGTCATCCATCGGGAAATAAAATTGTTTGCCAGTGACCATGGGTCTGAGGGCACGCTATTTAGAAGGAAGAATGGAAGTTTAATCTGTTAAGCAAGTTTATGAATGAGGAAAACTCAGGACACAGCAAGTTCCAGGCAAATACTGCTCACCTCTGGACACCAGTTCCTTTGCATCTGAATCTTAGAAGGTGAAGTGGAAAGAAGCTGGTGCTGAAATTTGGATGACATATAGAACAGGAGAATTCTAGATCCTAAATTTTTGTGTGCAGGTGCTTGTTCTGGCAGTAGAGATTGCCCTTTTACCAAGGGCTCAGGTTCTCACTACATAGACATCTGAGCTTCCTTCAACCTGCTGGTAAAGTTTGAGGAAAGGTGTGTTTGTTGCCAAGCTCCTGTTTCCCACAAGTGTCTCCACACCTTGCATGTGCTTTGAAACAACACCCAGTTTAGAGGGAGGAAAAGGGTCCCTTTGTCTTATATGCAAGGGCACAAAGTGGATTTAAGATACAGGAGGGAGAGTAATTTGAATAACTTCTGAAGGCTCCTTGTACTTTTTGGCCATCAAGATGGGAAGGTCCACTTATTCAAATTCTGTCATTCTGGAAGCCCCTAAAGGAGGGCAGTATCACACTGTGCATAGGAAACAGCTTCCTTCTCTGACTTCTATGCAAAGTGACACATTCCCATGAAGAACAAAGGGATTTGATTGTCACTCACATACCATTAGCTGAGAGTAAAGAGTCAAATGGGAACTGTTGAGATGTACTAGGTTTGGGGAAACCTAAATTTTACAAGGTGAAAGTCCAAATCCAGTATTACTCCCTCTGCTCCCTGAATTCACAGAGCCTTTTGGAGGTAATCCTCTAGCAACAATGAGACCTAAAACCAAGCAATTTGGGCCAAGGAAAACTAGGACCACTATAGAGCAAGACAGGCACACACCTTACCAAATGCCATTTTTGCCTGGGGTTTTGCAGTGCAGTGTTGCTGCCCCAACATGGCACTTTATCTTTTGGATAAGTACTGTGTTGTATTTATACCAATTAATTACTTGAAACAGTGATAATACTTGTCGGTTTGCTGTCAAGCCTGCAATATATTTTCCAAGTGGTTTTGTTTTTAAATAAAGTTTCATTGTCTCCAACTCTTTCCTAGTGGGTAATGATACATCAGTATGCCTCTGAATTTTAAGACGTCCTGAGAGAGTGCATAGTAGCAGATGGGAAAGATTAAGGGAAAGTCAGAGTATCATAGCTTGAAGTCTGTTAATATAGAAAAGATACCCAGAGCCAAGTGGTGGTGGCACACACCTTTAATCCCAGCACTCAGGAGGCAGAGCAGGCAGAGGACAGCCAGGACTACACAGAGAAACTATCTCAAATGCCCCTCCAGGGGAAAAAAAAAAGGATCGGGGTGCATAGCTGTTAGCTCCTAAGGTTGAGAGGATGATTGCCCTGGTGTGAGGACAGCCTGGACTACATACAGAGACGTCAGAAAAAAAAAATGGCTGAGAGTTGTTTCAACGTTCGTTTTCTAGTTCAAACTAACAGACCAAGTGGTGGGAAGAGTACATAGTTTAAGACTCCTTGTGCTTGTTAATTTTCGTCAACGACACAAACTGTAGTCACAAGGTTAAGAACCTCGGCTGAAGAGCTGCCTCCAACGGACAAATCTGTAGACAGCATGTCTGGGGATGTTCAGTGAGGGCAGCGCTATCCCGAGAAGGTGCACACCTTTATCTACCCTACCCCCAGCACTCAGGAGGCAGAGGCAGACTTAAGACCTCAGGATTTCCATGTGGTTCGCCTCGCATTTTATGTGCAGGGACCGAGATGTGCCAAGTGGGGCTCCGGAGGCAGTGTTGTAACTGCGGGTCAAGAACACCCGGCTCTGGATTCACATCCTAATCAGCCTCGGCCCCTTCCGCTACTGGTGCAGAGAAGCCATTCTTTTATGTGGATGCTTCAGGAGCCGTCACCTTCGCCTGGGTACACTTAGCAAACAAAGGACTGCCTAGTGCAGCAGCCTGTAATCCGAGCACAGGAGGCAGAGACAAGACGGGTTCTAGACCAGCGTTGACTACACGGTGAGCCAGAGGCCCGCATGAATTCCACCAAAAACGGGGAGGGCGAGGAAAAGGGAGGAGAAACGACGAAAATGTAAATAGAAAGAAAAAGGAAGAATTTTAAAAAGTGACACTCAAGCGCGGAACCTGCATTTGAATTTCACACAAAGGACGTTTACTCGAGGCACCGCCTCTCGGTCCTGGCCAGTCACGACGCGACCGGAAGCACACCACTGCTTCAGGCGGCCTTCTCAGTATCGCGAGACGAAGGTAATGCTTACCGGAAAGCGGTTGCCTCGCGCGGCGGTGACGTCAGATCTCAGCGCCCGGTCTGCCGCGCGTGCGTCTGTAGGGCTGCCCGCTCCTTTCCGTCGTGCTGAGCCCGCTGAAGAGTCGCCATGAGCAAGGCCCACCCTCCCGAACTGAAGAAGTGAGTAAAGCCCACCCGGCCTTGCCGCGCGAACCCTCCTCCTGCCTTGCCTCGGCTGTGCCTGCAGGTCCCCGCCTTGCCTCGGCTGTGCCTGCAGGTCCTCGCGCTCGTGGATGCAGGAAGTGGCCCTGAAGTCCGGTCGGCATGGTTACCGCGGTGGCGGTTCTCCACCTTCCAAAGGCGGCGGCCAGAGGGTTACCAGATTAGGGACCAAGGGAGCAGTCTACACCGAGGTTCCTCTGAGGAACCAGAAACTCACAGCTTTAAAAAGTGCATTTGACGGGCTGGAGAGATGGCTCAGCGGTTCTTCCTGAGGACCAGGGTTCAGTTCCCATCACCCAAATGCAGCTCACAACTGTAACTCAAGATATTACACCCTCACACAGACATCCATACAGGCAAAACACCAATGCACATGAAATAAATTATTTTTTAAAGTGCATTTGGAAAGCCAGACTTGGTGGCTCACTACTTTAATCCCAGCACTCGGGAGACCGAGACCAACCTGGTCTACAAAGCGAGTTCCAGGAGAGTTAGGGCTGTTACACAGAGGGTCAATACTCAGTAGGTTGAGGCAGGAGGATTACCTCGCTTTCCAGGCCAGTCTAAAAAGAGACCCTGACACAAACAGAATGTATTTGTATTTTTTTAGACTTTTGGAAGTACCCGTTCCTCTTTCTTTTCTCCTTGTAAAAATTTTTAAGTTTATAGTGAGGGGTGTGTGTGTGTTTGTTTTTGATGCTCACAGATATGTTTGTGCAGTGCCTGCGGAGAGGACTTCTGATCCGGATTCGGTGGAGCAGTAGTTAGTTGCGGGAGGTTGTGAGTTTCTTGGCGTGGGTACTTAATGCCAAACTCGGGTTCTCTAGAAAGCAGAAAGTGCTAAGCCATTTCTCCAGCCCCAAGAATTAGGTTTCTGATGCATACACGCACTTACTTGCCTTGTTGCATGCAAGTGAAATTTAAATGTTGTGTGGTATCTTGCCCTGGTCTTAAGTCCGTTTTCTAATCAGAGACAGTTAGTTTTTGCATATTTTTTATCTGCACTCAGTAAAATCAACCAATAAGACGTCAGTCAGTTCAACAGGACCTAGTTTAAAACTTTGGTCTCCTCGGACACTACTGACTGGCCTGAGCCTGTCGCATATGTAATGCTGAGATTCTGCAGGGTGCAAGATTCATACTGGGTTGTTTATCTGGCCACATAAACCATAAGGTGGACATTTTAAAAAGTAGACATTACCCTGCACTGTTGGTCTTATTAACGAGCTAGTGAATGAAGTCTTATATTTTCTGGATTCGTTGGAATTGGCAAAAAATGATCATTGGTTTTAAATAAAAGAACTGTTCTCTACATGTAATCTTAAATGTCCTTTGAGTCTTTACAGATGTACTTGGGCCTTTCAGAGACTGGAACTAGTGATTGTGTCTGTTTTAGTTGTGTTTTGACTTTTTTGTTGGTTTGTTTGTGGTATTGTGATTGAGGCAGGGATTATGCATGCTGCTCTACTCCTGAACTTTATTCCCTATTCCCTGAAGTTGGTACCTTCCTCTTCTCATCCCTAGATTTTGTAAATTTTAAAATACTGTTAGATATGCCTCCTTTATTTTCTCATAAGTCCTAATTCTACCACTTCTTGCTCCTAGTTTAGCATAACAAAGTGGTTCTTAATCACGTCTATCCAATTATCTCAGTAGTTTCCAAGTTGAGCTCCCTGTCCTAAGTGCATTCCCCTTTCCACCTCTTTCTTTTATATTTTTCTTTTTAGATTTTATTTATTATGTATACATTATTCTGCCTGCATATTTGCCTACATGCCAAAAGAGGGCACCAGATCTCATTATAAATGATTGTGAGCCTCCTTGTGATTACTGGGAATTGAGCTCAGGACCTCCGGAAGGGCAGCCAGTGCCGTTAACCTCTGAGCCATCTCTCCAGCTCTTAAGATTTGTTGTCACAGTAAGTCTTGGAACTGATGGAGTCTGCGTAACAGCCCTCTTGGAACTTGCTCTGTGGACCAGGCTGGCCTTGAACCTGGAGATCCTCCTGCCTTTGCCTTTGTCTCCTGAGTACTGAGATTAAGGTGTGCGCATTTCAGCGCAGATACCCTGGGATGTTCTAGAGCTGAAGTTACAGGTGGTGCTGAATCACGTGGCGTGGGTGTTGGAAACTGGTCTCAGGTCTTCTGGAGGAGTATCAAGCTCCTGAGATCAACATCTGAGCCATCTTCTCTAGCCCCAGAATATTATTTTATTTTAACTGATTCTGTACTTGTTTATATTTAGAATTTTTTTAAGTAGGTCATAATTTTTTTACTCTTGCTTTTTCAGATTTATGGACAAGAAGTTATCATGTAAGTTTCCCACCAACTTAATTTCTCAGTTTCTTTTTGTCTTAGCAATATATGATCTTTGGAGACAATATAAATTTAAAGTACACAAATCTAATTCATCTCCATTCAGATTTCTCAGAGTTCTAGATAGACTTTTTTTTTCCTAATTTCCAATTGCCTACCTAATACTTTATATCATCTGTGCCTCCCTGACATCAGAATTGGGAGTTGCCAATGTTGTGATATTTGAAACTTTATCAACTGTTTTTTCTTTAAACAAGCTACCAAGGAATCAGGCAAGCAACAATAGCTGTTTCTTGTGAATATGTAGGAAATACAGCCTTGACTAGAAACCTGACCCATTCATGAAGTGTATTGAAATTTTAAAATACAGGGTTTTAACCTTCGTTTAATTCGCTAATCTACAATACAACAGTTCTTAACCTTGAACCCTGCTATTTGTAATTTTGGTTCCTTTCTACTTTACTTATATGTTAGGGAGGCTTTATTAGTGGGGAGTCATTGACACAGGGTCTTGGATGTGGCCCAGTCTGGCCTCAGACTCTTTTGAATCAGCCCTCCTTCATTATGCCAAGTGTTGGGATTATAGTCATGAGACATCACATGTAATGTCTTCATAGGGTCCTAAAGGCTAAAATGTAGGAAAGGAAGAGCTAAAACATTAGGCTGGTGTTGGGCAGATAGTAAGGGTATGGGGTAGTGGTCACACATCCCAACAACCTTTCTTTTCCTACCTGATATGTGATGGATGGTTGACAGTTAAGGGCTTTATTGACACTTTTCCCCTTCTTACAGTGAAGTTAAATGGTGGCAGACATGTACAAGGAATACTTCGGGGCTTTGATCCCTTTATGAATCTTGTCATTGATGAGTGTGTGGAGATGGCAACTAGTGGGCAACAGAATAACATCGGCATGGTGGTAAGTAAAGTGGATGTCAGGGTTTGTTTAATATGTCTTCATTTCCCTTATATCAACTTCTCAGATTAAATCCAAGTTAGTTACCCTATGAAAGATTAGGACTTTGCATTTCCTTTTATCTGTGGACACATTCAGCTGTGATAATATTCCAAGTACCTGTAGATAAAATCTCATCTCTGCAGAGCCTTCTCAGCATAGGTCTTGAAACAGCTAGCTGATGGAAACCGTTTTTTGAACTTTGTCCTGTAAGACATGACCATTCATAGCCACACTTGATTACAGTAAAAATTCTCTAACACACATATGATACCCCAGGATATCTTGTTAATAATATACAGGTTTCAGGAGTTGGCCAAAATGGGTTGGCTATTTTTGTTTAATTATTTTTATTTGATGTATATGAATGTTTTGCCTACATGTATATCTGTGTGTCATGTGTTTGCCTTGTGCCTATGGAGGCCAGAAGAGAGTGTCAGATCCTCTGGAACTGGAGGTGCAGATAGAGCCAGTACTATGAACCACTGAGCCATCTCTCCAGCCCCTGGCTCAGCACTTAAGAGCACTTGTTGATCTTGCAAAGGGCTGAGTTTTGATTCCTAGCACCTACGCTGCAGCTGCTAACCATCCTTAACCCCAGTTCCAGGGTATCTAGTGCCCTCCTCTGACCTTCTTGGCCACCAGACATGCAGCCAAAACTTTCATATAATAAAAAACTTTAATATAAAATAAGTAATCAGGGAAAATACAGGTTTTGGGCCCACAAATGTAGCTCAGTGTTATAATACTTACCTAGCACACACAGGCCATTACTTTGCATACTTGGCATGGATGCTAAACAGAATGACAGCTATTTATGACAGAAAATAAGATAAGCCAAAAAAGAGGGTGGGTAAGATAGGGTCTGGCTCTATGGCCTGGAACTCAGAGTACTCCTTCAAGTTCTGAAAGGGCTGGGGTTACAGGTCTGAGCGACCGCCATATGCAACTGAGCTTTCATATTAGACATGGACTTTCCTACATTTATTAAGCAGTAGTCCTGTGGCCACAAAAGAAAGGTTTTGTGTTGTCAGTATTTAAATTGCTGTTTGTCTTGCAGGACATGCATGTCTTATATACCATAGTCCTCATAAGTGGTGAGCCCAGATTTGTACAAGGACTTTTTTGCGGTGATAAGAAGTCATATCCTCTCTCTCCCTACTCCCCCATTTTAGTTAGGGTTTGGTTTTTTTGTTTGTTTGTTTGTTTTTTTTTTAGATTTATTTATTGGTTATATACAACATGTTTTCCTGCACACCAGAAGAGGGCATCAGATCTCATTACAGATGGTTGTGAGCCACCATGTGGTTGCCGGGAATTGAATTCAGGACCTCTGGAAAAGCAGTCAATGCTCTTAACCTCTGAGCCATCTCCCCAGCCCTAGTTAGGGTTTCTATTGTTCTGATGAGACAACATGATCACGGCAACTCTACTAAAGGAGAACGTTTAATTGTGTCTTGCTTACAGTTCAAAGGTAGTTAGTCTAGTATCATCATTACGGGAAGCATATAGACAGACAATAGTGTGTAACTGAGAGTTCTACATTTGGATCCATATGTAACAGGGAGCGAGCTTGACCCTGGGCCTGGCTTGAGCTTGTGAAACCTCAAAGCCCATGCATGTCCCCTGAGCCTGTGAGGGCCATTTTCATTCTAACCACCACATCTAAGGTGAAAGTAGGACCTCAGCCACTGAGCTGAGTGCCTAGCCCCTTGGACTTTTTGGTTTTGCTAAGGCTGGTAGTAGCAGGGTAAAGGTAGCCCCTTTTACTATTTTACTCATGTATTTTAAATGATTTGTTTACATCATTTCAGATTAAAAGTATGTGGTATTGCTTATTTCAGAGCTCAGTGTGGTGATGCACACCTGTAATCTTACCCCTCAAGATCTTAGTGCAATAATAATAATGATTGCTATTCTCAGGGGTAAAAATTTATTGACCCTGTTTAAAGGTGAAGAAACAGCTGGCAGTTGGCTCAGTCCTGTAACCCTGGTTCCCAAAAGCTAAGTTACAATGACCTGTCATCTCATAAAGTTAATCATTACTTTCCAGTCCTGATATCATGGTTTCAGTCTCTTCTAATAGGCCTGAGAGACTTGGGTACTTTACTTCTTGTTGGTGTTGCTTCTGTTTTTTGTTTTCCTTACAACAGTATTTCACTGTGCATCCCTGGATGGCCTGGAACTCAAGATCTTTCTGCTTCTGAGTTGCTGGAATTAAAGGTGTGTGCCACCATACCTCACTCGTGTCTTGGTTTAAAAATTGACTTGGTCCCAGCCAGGTGATGGTGGCGCACGCCTTTAATCCCAGCACACAGGAGGCAGAGGCAGGTAGATTTTTGTGAGTTCTAGGCCAGCCTGGTCTACAAGAGCTAGTTCAGGACAGGCTCCAAAGCTATAGAGAAACTCAATCTCAAGAATGAATGAATAAGATCAGTAACTTTAACTTGGTTCCTGTGGCTTGAGAAAAGCCTCACTGATGTGTCATGTTAGAAAGTATTATTTGCCTTTTAGATGAATTATTCTTTTCAACTGACTTTTTTCTCTAGGTCATACGAGGAAACAGCATCATCATGTTAGAAGCCTTGGAAAGAGTCTAACCAGTGGCTGTTCAGCAGTGGAGTTCACATACTTCCCCGAAGGACTGTTTGACTTGGGTGTAGAATTGGGTCATGTACATTTTCATTAAAAAAAAAAAAAGCTTTTTGCTAAATAAAAATAAACTTTTGTAATACTCAGAGTATGTTCATCTCTGGTGTTCTGAAAGTTGAAGTTGAGTAGTTACTCTTCTCACACCAGATGTTCATGGCTGAGCTGGGGTTTTTTTGTTTTGTTTTGTTTTTTATTTATTATGTACACAATATTCTGTCTGTGTGTATGTCTGCAGGCCAGAAGAGGACAGCAGACCTCATTACAGATGGTTGTGAGCCACCATGTGGTTGCTGGGAATTGAACTCAGGATCTTTGGAAGATCAGGCAATGCTCTTAACCACTGAGCCATCTCTCCAGCCCCATGGCTGAGCTGTTTTATGGATTTAAGTGGAAGCTTCTTGACTCAATATGAAAAGAGATAAGAAATCAATAGCATGCCCACGCCTTTAATCCCCCAGTACTTGGGAGGCAGGGGCTGGCAGATGTCTGAGTTTGAAGCCAGCCTGGTCCACAGAACAAGTTCCAGGGCTGGCTCCATAGCTACTTAGGAACCCTGTCTCGAAAAAGAAAAGAAGGAAGTCAGTACCACTGAGCATATGGGCTACAAATGTGTGACTTTCAAACATTAGTTCTAGTGCCTTTGACCTCCTGTGACTTCAAATTTGGGTTGAGTCCCTTATACAAAATTCTTGGGACAAAGGAGTTTCGTGTTTATTGTATGCCATGAGCTGCCTTCGTTACTTTTCTATTGCTGTGGGCAAATGCATGACCAAAACTTTATAGGGAAATAAGGTTGGGGGGGGGGGGGCTTACAGATTAAAGGATGAGTCTGTGACCATTGTGGTAAGGAGCATGGCAATGGGCAGGCCTGATGCTGGAGCAGTGGCCTGGGCTTTTGAACTCTCAAAGCCCACCTCTAGCAGCACATCTAATCCTTCTAATCAACTGGGTCCAAGTATTCAAATACATGAGTCAATGACCGTTCTCAGTGATGCCACTACAGGATCCAAACTGAAACAAGAAGTTCATATATATTTACTATTATAACTATATATGTTGCCTCTTGATAATAATGCCCTTTTTTATTTTGGTGTGGTACCTGTACCAGTGAGCCATCTGGCTAGCCTATTAAGTATTTTTCTTGGTTTTGGCTGTAACAAGTTATGTGAGTTACAGAATTCTTTTCTTCTGACATTATGTTAAATGTTGAAAAGCTTCAGGTTTTTGAGTATTTTAGGTTAGGATGCTACATTGCAAGTATACTTTAGCAGGGCGGGTAGCCCAGGGGTGGTTGCTTAACAGGCTGAAGGATTTGGGTTCAAAACACCAACTCTGAGCCACCCCATCCCCAGTAAAATAACCCTGAGTTTAGTACAAGAGCAGTAACACAAGATGCAGCATCGCTGCTTATGTCCGACTTAATCATAAAGTGGGCAATAGTTCTTTTTAATCTTTTTTTGTTGGAGTTTTGTCTTTGAGACGGTCTCACTGTGCAACTCTGACTGTCCTGGAACTTGCTGTGTAGACCAGGCTAGCCTCAAAACTCAACTTACCTCTGCCTCCTCAGTGCTAGGATTATGTGTGCCACCGTGCCTTGCTAGTGGGGAGAAATTGTGAAGAGTAGGAACAGGCTTCAAAAAACAGCCTTCCTTTATAAGGCAATTCCACCCAGCTCAGGACTTATGCCTCACAAACTGGAGGCTCTCAGTCATTCTAAGCAAAGATGTGGCCTTTTTTGTGCCTCTGGGTATGTATAAAGGAAACCTGTGAAGGATGGTATATGCACAGGGAGCTCCTAGAACAGAGTGGCTCTAACAAGCCGTCAAAGGTGGCTGCTGCATACTCTGCTAAATCTAGTTGAGGCTGAGCATGGTGGTGACTGCTTTTAATGCCAGCACAGCAGAAGTCAGGGTCAGCCTGGCCTAGTGGTGAGCTCCAGACCAACCAAGGCTATCTGGTAAGACTGTTTTGTTTTGATTGTGGCTCCCAGGGATGAAGCTGCTATGAAACAGTGACAGTTGTCCTTCACATCTGTTGGATAGATAGTACAACCCATTATTCAGGCAACTCTGAGAGTCAAGTTAGTTCTTCAATACATAGGCAGTCATCCTTTGTAGCCAAACTTGTCTGGTTGACAGGTCAGGTCCATGCTGTGACTGACACTGGCCTACTTTTGACTCCCTCGCCTTGACTGTAAATATGGTAGGGGCTCTGCTTTGAAAAGGAGGAGGTAGTTCCCACCAGGTAGTAGGGAAATGAGTTTCACATTCCTGAGTCAAATAGAAAATTTCTCTCAGAGTACTGCTGTTTTCCTAGAGCAGCCTGTTCGTTTGGAGCCTCCCACTCACCCCTGCACAATCCAGAATGCACCATCCACCCTGCCCCCACCCCACCCGCTCAGAGTCTCTGAACAAAGGAAAGGTACCAAAAAGCCCAGTTACAGCTGCCTGGGGTGGCATGCGCCTTTAATCCCAGCAATAGGGAGCCAGAGGCAGGCTGATCTCTGAGTTCGAGGCCAGCCTAGTCTACAAGAGCTAGTTCCAGGACAGGCTCCAAAGCTATAGAGAAACCCTGTCTTTAAGTACGTACATACATACATACATACATACATACATACATACATACACACATACATACATACATAAACAGTTACTTGGCTGTTATTGCAGCTTCCCCTGCCCCTCCTTGGAGTTGCCAGCCATCCAAGTCCCTGCCTAAGCACTCAGCTTTTGACCCACACTTGGGCACAAACCCAGCTTGTGGCAGACACATCATCACCCCTAACCTACAACCTATAAAATCTTACTTTAGTTCGGGGTTGTGACTTCTCTGGCCTCTATCTCAGACCAGAGAAGCCAGTCAGCTTGAACTGGCATACAGCATCAGGAAGAAGCCTATTATGGGGACTGGGATAGGAAGGATGGGAGGGGTGCAAAAGCCTATTACCTCCTAATGACAGACCAATAAGTGCTATATCCATCCACAGTGGACTACAGTGAGCTCTGTCTGGGCTACAAGAACCAACTAAAAGCAATGGTGATCTCATTCATGGTGACTTGGGATCAGTCTTGCTTTCTTGGAGTGCCACTAGAACTGCAAGTAGCCAGGGAGTGGAATCTGCCTGGTGGTCTTTTCCATTCAGCTGTGGCTCCACAGCCTAACTAAAACCCGTGGGAGTGAGTGGTTAGAGGCACACAATAAGGGCCCATCCATTTCTCATCAGTTGATCCCTGGGTCTCTGGCATGGACTGCATGGGCACCATTAATACTTGACCAAGTTCCAGCATTTTGATTTTGCAGATCACAATTTTCCGGCACCTTTTACTCTCATTTTCACTTTTGAAAAGTTTGTATGGCCCGATAGTCCTCTCTACACACACACACACACTAATCCAAATCAAATCAAATTAGAAAAAGCCCAGGTTTAATGGATGCCAGCGCTCCCAGGTGGCCTTCCAGGCCCTCAGAGAGGAGGTGGGAAAGGAAGGCCGGAAAACCACGTGTTTGCTGGGGGGGGGGGGCAGTTTAAATGCCCTGTAGGAGTGGTCTTGAGCATCTCTGAGGAGGGGTCACCGTGGTGGTCTTTCTCTGGACTGAGGCAACTCCCAGGGGAGGGGCTTGGGATGGAACTTTCCACTCAAACAGTCCAGACTCTTTGGGTGTAGGGGTACCAGGGGCTGGGGTGAAGCCTTAACCCAAACAACTTTTACAATCGTTTTTAGTGATTCTCACTATGTGTTATAGAAGTTCTATTATGCTTTTTCCTTTGGGAAATTTTGTGCGGAGTCTGAAGGATGAAAATGTATAAAATGGTAGCCTCTCTAAAAAATCCCTGCCACCGTGGAATCATATCTGCACATAGGAATCCCCGTTGTGCCCTCCTGATTACATGGAGAAAAGGAAGGGTGGAGATTTGCTAACGGGACACACCTAACCCCAAGTATGAAGGTCAGATCCAGAGCCTGGGACCGTTAAGGGCAAGAGTTCAGTTAATAAGTATAGCAAGAGGGTTAGAGAGATGGCTCAGTGATTAAGAGCATTGCCTGCTCTTCCAAAGGTCCTGAGTTCAATTCCCAGCAACCACATGGTGGCTCACAACCATCTCTAATGGAGTCTGGTGCCCTCTTCTGTCCTGCAGGCAGACACACAGACAGACTATTGTATACATAATAAATAAATATATTTTAAAAACATTTAAAAAAATAAGTATAGAGAGAAGAATGATACTGTATAACGGAAGAAGAGTAAGACATCGGAACCTTCCCTTTCTGAGTGCATATGAGGGGAACAGGCCCGTGTAGTAAGACACAAAGGCACACAATTAGGGAACAGCTCAGTGTTTGCAGTGCCACCATGCCCCTAGAGGAAGTAAAACTGTGGTGGAGTGTCTGGTCCCCCAAGGAAATCCTTTCCCAAGGTCAGGCATCTGGAAAAGAGCCTCCATTCCTGCAGGGGCTTAAGGAAAGTTACTGCTTGCTAAGAGCAGTCTTTCTCCTTATCTCTGGTAGGAGGAACTTGTGTCCCTTACAGTGACTAATAACCTTTGAGAATAGGCGTTTACAAACTTACTGAATTTACCGCTTTTGTCTGGGGGCAGGAAAGGTGCTGTAATAAAATGAATGGCCACTTTCATCCCTGAGTCATTGAGTCTGCAATTATATTGTGCAATTATAGAGCATAATAGACGCAGGCTTTTTTCAATAAACAGGCAGCCACCCCAACACACCCTCAGATCCCTCAGGTAATGTCAGTCTCCTCCTTCCCTTGGCGGATACCAACAGCACACCTCCTCCTGGGGACCTGAACCCCGAAGGAGCTGAACTCTGGCAGGTCTCTGATTGTTCACTTTCTTTAAAAGTGACCCGTCCTCCTAGTTGGAAAGTATTTTTTTTTCATTTCTTTTTTTCTTAAATATTTATTTATTTTATTTATTTATTATATATACAATATTCTGTCTGTGTGTCTGCCTGCAGGCCAGCAGAGGGCATCAGATTTCATTTCAGATGGTTGTGAGTCACCATGTGGTTGCTGGGAATTGAACTCAGGACCTTTGGAAGAGCAGGCAATGCTCTTAACTGCTGAGCCA